TTGGAGCATTAAGCCACTTCCAAAATCTCCAACATTACATGGTTTAAAGTTATGAAGGGAGTGCATCAGGGTTATGTTCTCTCTCCATGCCTAGTCAATCTGTGTGCTGGGCAAATTACACAAGAAGCTAGACTCTATGAAGAAGAATGTGGCATCAAGATTGGAGGAAGACTCACCAATAACCTGCGTTATGCAGATAACATGATTTTGCTTGCTGAAAGTGAGGAGGACTTGAGCACTTATTGCAGAAGATCAAACAATACAACCTTCAATATGGGTTACATATCAACGTCAAGAAAACAAAAATTCTTACCACTGGACTGTAGACAAGAACATGATGGATGGAGAAAAAATTGAAACTGTCAGCAACTTCGTCTTACTTGGATCCACAATCCCTTGGTATCACCAGTCAGGAAATCAGGAGATAGGTTGCACTGGGAAAGTCTGTAGTCAGGAACCTCTCCAGATTCTTGAGGGGCAGTGATACCATTTTGAGGGCTAAGGTGCATCTGATTTGGGCTGTGATCTTTCTCATCACTTGATATGCATCTGAAAGCTGTACAATGAATAAGGATTGCAGAAGAAGAATTGATGCCTTTGAGCTGTGGTTTTGGAGAAGAGTACTGAACATTGACTGCCTAAAGAACAAATAAATATGTCTTGGAGAAGGTGCAGCCAGAGTGCTCCTTGGAGGCAAAGATGATAAAATTTGTCTCATATACTTCAGGCATATTGTTAGGAGAGGCTATTCCTTGGAGAGGGACATCATGCTTGGAAAGGTTGGTGAAGGAAATGAAGACCCTCAACCAGATGGACTGGCACAGTCACTGCCGCCATGGGCTCTAGTGAGTCAGGAAGTGTGAGGACGGTACAGGGTTCAGATCTGTTGTTTCTAGAGTCACTGTGGGTCATACTCAACTTGACTGTGCTTAACAACAAAACACACTGTTAGAGATTTGAAATAAAGGTACTATCCTCTTAAAATGGAGATTTTTCAGGAAAATGTTTATACTCTAAAACTTTCCCAAGGGTGAAGTAATAAGATCTTGAACTGAGAGCTTAATTTGGAAGGACTGAGTGCAAAGCATATAGCCTTGTAGCTATCAGACAAACAGGAAGGTGGAGTGGATAGAAGCAAGCAGCCATTGCCAAGGCATAAGGGTGGTGGGCATGGAAGCCCCAACTCACAATTATACCTGGGCTGGTCCTTGGGGTAAGAGGTCTTTTGAACTTCAGGGAAGGCTAAGGTTCGAGCCATCTACTCTCTTACCTAGTAAGTGACATTTTTGTCCTAAGACAAGCTTCTAAGGTATGGGCTAGGTTCATAAGCTGTAGGCTTGGGGTGAGCAGTGACATGTGATCTTTATGTTGGTTTTAGGATCACAGACTCTAATCTACCAGGACACAGACAAGTCACCTCAGGCCCTGAACACCGAGTGCATCTGCCAAGTTCCTGCTCTCACTCAGTTCCTATCTCTAACTTCAAGGTCAGGCCAGTACAGGCTAGATCCCAGGCCCCAGAAAAAGCAAATAGGAAAGAACAAAGGGAGAGGCCCGAAACATTCTGTTCCTTCATTTCACTGAGGAGTTCAGATATCAGTGTCTAGGCTCTGGGCCCCAGTCTGATTTTGTTGTTATTGTAAGGTGCTGTCAAATCGAGTACAATTCATAGCAATCTAGTAAACAACAGATCTGAACCCTGGCCTATCTTGTGCCATCTTCATCATCTGTGACACACTTAGGCCCATTGCTGCAGTCATTGTATCAATCCATCCGGGTGAGAATCTTCCTTTCTCTTGGTGACCCTCTACCTTTCCAAGCATGGAATTCCTTTCCAAAAAAATAGCCTATCCTTGCAACATGAAATATGTGAGACAATTCACCATTCTTGTTTCTAAGGCGATCTCTGGCTATACTTTGTCCAAGACATATCTGGGTTTTTTTTCAGTTCATAGAATATTCTGTGCTCTTTGCCAACACCACACAATCAAAGGCATCAATTCTTCTTCTTTTATCCTTATTCATTGTCTAGCTCTCAGGTATTAGACCTTAGTCTAATTTTAGCAGGTATGAAAAATTGTGGCCAGAACCTGGTATGTGCAGGTAGGTGAGTGTTTACCAGGTACCTTGGGGCAGGCCAGTATGCTCTATCTGGCCTTAGACATAATCCTGGACCTGAGCACTGGCCTCTGCTGTTTACTACCCCAGGAAACGTACAGACATATCTCTAGGATATTACAGGTTCAGTTCCAGACCACTTTGATAAAACATATAATAATAAAGCAAGTCATGTGAATTGTTTATTTATCAGTACGCATTAAAATTCTATGTATGTGGTTCAAATCTGCCAGCTGCTCTGAAGGAAAAGGATGGGCAATCTCCTCCTGTGTGATAAACTCACTCCGAAAACCCACTGGAGGGTCAGCTATGGGTCAGTTCTGACTCGATGGTACACAAACAACACAACAACAGATCAGAAGTCAGGGAGCTCTGGTGGCTTTGTGGTTACAAGTTACACTGCCAGCTCTCAGGCTTGTAGTTCAAATCCACTAGCTGCTCTGCAGGAGAAAGATGAATAATCTCTTTCTGTTCAATTAACTGCTTCTGAAACTGACTGGAGGGTAAGCTGTAAAGTCAATTCCAACCTGATGGTATGTAACAATATAACAGCAGGAAGGAGATCAGGAGACATATTGCATTGGGAAAGTCCACTGTCGGGGACCTCTCCAAAATACTGAAGAGCAAGGATTTAATTTTGAAGACTAAGGTGTGCCTGATTCCAGCCATGGTCTTTTCAATCACTTGCTGTGCATCTGAGAGCTGGACAATGAATAACGGTGAGAGAGAAGAGTTGATTTTTTTGAGCTGCATTGTTGGAGAAGAGTGCAGAATATCCCATGAACTGCCAAAAGCACAATCAGGTATGTCTTGGAGAAAGGGCAGCCGGAGTGCTCCTTGGAGGCAAAGGTGGCAAAGCTTTGTCTCTCATATTTTGGGTATGTTGCTAGAAGAAGCTCTTCCTTGGTAAAGAAAAGCATGCTTGGAAAGGTGGAGGGTCAGCAAAAGAGAGAAAGAACCTTAACGAAATGGATTTACACAGTGACTGCAGCAATGGGCTCTTGTCTATCAGAGATGATGAAGATGGCACAGAATCGGACAGGGTTCAAATCCGTTCTTTATGGGTCACTATGAGTTGTATTCAACTCGACGGCATCTGACAACATCATGCCCCACTTTATTACATTCTGCTTTATTGCATTTTGCAGTTAATGCATTTTTCACACATTGAAGTACGTGGTAACCTGGAGCCAACCAAGTCTCGCTGGAGCCATTTTTCCAACAACACGTGCTCTCTTTATGCCTCTGTGTCACGTTGTGGTAATTCTCATAATAATTCAAAGTTTTTCATGATACTACTGCACACTTAATAGACTACCAAACAAAAAACAAAGACCATTGTCGTTAAGTCCATTCTGATTCATGGACACACTCCAGCATATTTCTGAGGCTGTAAATCTTTATGAGAGGAGACCATCCATCTTCCTTGTGCAGAGCTCCTGGGGAGCTCAAACTACAAACCTTTGTGTTAGCAACCCAATGCATAACACATTACATTATCAGGACTCCTTGAATAGACGGTTATTGCTATTACAATCAACCAGACTGTTGATGGTAAATCTAGGCTGTACCATCTTTCAAAACCCTCCCACTCCTTTCTCAGCACTACTCAGATTAGGTTCTTGGCCATCTTGACCTTAAATCAAGACCATAACCTTTGAATGGATCTATTATGGTCCCTCTTTGTGTGTAAGGTGGGAGCTCTTGTGACCTGGTGGTAAGCAGCTGCCCTGCTATCCCAAAGGTATGCAGTTTGAATTCACCAGCTGCTCTGTGGGAGAAGGAAGAGTAATCTCTTCTCACGTGACTAATTGCCTCTGAAATTCCACTGGGAGTCAGCTATGGGTCGGTTCCAACTCGACGGCACACAACAACAGTGTGTGAGGAGTTGTGCTCTCAACCCAAAGGTAGGCAATTAGAACCCATCAGCTCCTCCTCAGGAGAAAGATGGACAGTCTCCTCCTGTGCAATTTGCAGTCTCTGCAAACCCACTGGAGGGACAGCTCTAAGTTGGTCTCGAGTCACATAGAACAGCAACACCCGGAGCTGGATCATTCCAGTCACGGCTGTTAAATGAATCCTTTCCAAACAGGCCCACGTCATGTTGAGTGATTGACAATTACTTGCGGTATAGTATGAATTTATTGGCCTAACCCAGCAACTAATGTGTATTGTAACTCCATCTTGGAGTTAGTGTCTTTTTTTGAGGAGTTTAATTTTATGCCTTAAAACATAGTCAAAAGGAAATTACACTTGAATAAATTCTAGTAAAAAAACCTAAACCAACAAAAAAAATCAGCGTCTTTGTCTAGCATGCCTATTGTGTGTGCACAGACATAACATCTACAAATGTATTCTGATGATGTGTTTGTGCACCTGTGCTCTGTCTGGGAGGTGAGATAAAAACGCAGCCCATGCTCCATTCACTGATCTGGGAATCTTGCTTTGGGAGTGTTATCATTCTAGATGAGGCACCCTTGCTAGTATATAAGCCTCAGAGCTCCTTATTGAGTCCTCAGATGCTTTCCACTCAGAGGATGAGAGAGCAATCCTATACTGATGCCCAGCCCAGGTGAATAAAAGGTGAAGATGCACTTCCAAGCAACCCTTCCCCCCGTTCCTTCACATGGATGTGTAATCGTAATCATGTGAGGAAAAAGGTGACCCACTATGACATAGAAATTACACCATAACTTCAGAGCTCAAAGACCTTGAAATGTTTTCCAGCTTAATTTTTTTTTTTTTGTCATAAATCTTAAAGGTGTTTCACCTACTTTGGGGGTGAGAGAGAAAATACAAATTTAAAATCCCCTATTCTTTATCGTTTTTCAACGGCTTCGTTCTAGAACCTCCCAAGTAAACCAATGTTTTCTCTCTTGCAGCCTGGAAACACCAGCGCTGGGAGGAATCAGCCCATCAATCTGAACCATTACGCCACCAAGAAGAGTGTGGCAGAGAGCATGCTGGATGTGGCCCTCTTTATGTCCAATGCCACACGGCTGAAAACAGTGTTGGAGCAAGGGCCATCTTCTCATTACTACATCACCCTGGTCACCCTCATCAGCATCTCCTTGCTTCTACAGGTGGTCATTGGAATTCTGCTGGTGGTCATTGGTAAGGATCCCAGGTCTGAGGTATAGACCTCTAGATTCAAGCTCCCCCTGGTGGGGAGAAAAGCCCAAGCACCTCCCTCAACCATACTTGCACATGCCAATTTAGCTTTAAGTTGTTAAGTGCCCAGTTGAGGAGGACTCATAGAGATCCTGTGAATAACAAACTCCTCTATCCTTTCCTGAGCCATGCTTATAATCCTTGACACATTTGAGTCCATTCCCGCAGAAAGTGCATCAACCCATCTTGAGGGTTTTCCTCTTCTTTGCTAACCCTTCACCTTCCCAAGCATTTTGTTCTTTCCAAGGAATAACGTTTCCTAACAGCATGTCCAAAATATGTGAGATGAAGCTTCATCATCTTTGCCTTCACGGAACACTCCAGCTTAACTTTCTCCAAGATATACCTGTTGTTCTATTGGCAGCCCAGGGGGTATCCAGTGCTCCTCTCCAACACCACTACTCAAATGCATCAATTCTTCTGCTGTTATTCATTGTCCAGGTCTCAGATGCATACCAGGTGATTGAAAAGACTATACTTTGAACCAGGTCCACCTTAATCTCTAAACTGACATCATTGCTCTTCAGGACTTTGGAGAGATCACTACCTAGATTTTCCCAATCCTATATGCCTCCTGATTTCCTGTTATTAAGGGTGTTGACTGTGGATCCAAGCAAGATGAAATCATTGACAATTTCAATCTTTCTTCCATCTTTCATGTTGCCTTTTGGTCCAGTGGTGAGGGGTTTTGTTTTCTTGATGTTGAGATGTATCCATATTGAAGGTTGCAGTCTTTGATCTTCTGCAGAAAGTGCTTCAGGTTCTTCTCACATTCAGCAAGCAATGTTGTGTCATCTGCTTAATATAGGTTGTTGATGAGCCTTCCTCCAATCCTGATGTCACACTTTTATTCATAAAGTCCAGCTTCCTGGATGATTTGCTCAGCAAACAGATTGAATAGGTGTGGAAAGAGGATCAGCCCTGACAGAAACCTTTTCTGATTTTAAACCATGTAGTGTTGTCACCACACTCTGTTCAGACAACAGCTTCTTGGTCGAGGGATGGATTTTATATAAGCATAGTCACGTGTTCTAGAATTCCTGTTCTTCTGAAGGTTAGCCATGTTGTTGAGTACCATCAAGCTGACTATGAACAACAGATCTGAGCTTTACTCTTGCCTCATGATCTCTGTCCTGCGCTAGCCCATTGTCTTAGTCACTATGTCAGACTAACCTCATATCAGGAGTTCCTGCAAAAAGTTTGAAATTATCTGCAAGGTAAATTACTAGCAGAAAGTTTCAACCTATCCAGAGTTGCCTCTGAAGACAGAGTGGCAGTCTTCTGAAAGACATAACTTTAGAAACTCTAAGGAACACCTCTGCCCTTGCATGCAGGGGTTGTCAGGAGTCAAAATCAACTCAACAAGCAACAACCTCCTCTTAGCCCTCTGCATGAATATTGTGCAAACGACAACAGTACAAGTGTAGGCGTACTGACCTCTCTTTTGGCATTCCACATGGTGGGCATTCACATATGCTTGCTGCCCTCACTGACTGTGTTTCTCATAGCCTTCCCTTCACCCTATCATCTATTCCCCCTCTAGGGGCCTTGGGTGGCTCAGGGTAAGGAGCTGCTCTGCCAACTCAAAGGCACAAGGTTCAAATCCACCAGCTGCGCTGTGGTAGAAAGTTGGGCAATCTCGTGTGCAATTTACAGCCTCTGAAAACTTGCTGGCAGGGGTGGAGGTCATCTATGAGTCAGTTCCAACTTGTCAACACACAAATCCTGATCCTAGTGCATACCATGTGGGTGGGCGCTCAGTGAGAGCAGACAGCACTCAGCCTGGTGATCGCCCCGCCCTTGGTTTCTCCCACATGGATCTCAGAGGCACCAGGCTTCCTCCAAACTCCAGGGGATGTTTTGAGAGAGGCACCCACCCTGACTCTTCCCTCCCTCTCCTCCACAGCACGGCTGAACCTGAACGAGGTGGAAAAGCAGTGGCGATTAAACCAGCTCAACAATGCTACCACTACCTTGGTCTTCATCACTGTTGTCATCAACATCTTCATTACAGCCTTTGGGGCACATAAGACAGGGTTCATGGCTGCCAGAGCCTCAAGAAATCCTCTCTGAACAGAGCTGAGGCCCAGGTGAGAGAGACGGATGCTAAGTCCTAGGTCTAAGGGTTCTTCAGCTAGACCTTCTCTCACACCAGGGAGGTTGGGATAAGAGACATTGTTGGTCAAACAAACTGAGAAGCTATGGACAATAAGGGGAGGGAGGGAATTTTTGTAAAGGACGTGGATCAAGACGACTCCCCCAAACCCCTCACATTCTGTAAATGGTCAGTTCTCCTTCAACCCCTGGATTGAACCTTGGGTTTTCCTACAACCTGAGGTGGGGTGGTTGGCTTTGCCCCTCTGACAAGAGGAAAGATGGCAACCTGGAATTTCTGCGTGGTGTTGTCTAGAGTCCTTGCTATTCAAATTGTGGTCCATGAGTGAGCAGCACCAATAAACACCACTTGTTTGTGGAAAATTCACTCTCAAGTCCTACACAAGATTTAGAGTCAAATCTGCATATTCACAACATTGCCAAATGAATCGTGTGAACGTTAAGAGTTTGAGGAGCACTTGGAAGGCGCTCTGGTGGTGTCATCTACTGTGGGACAGACCCACCAGCTGCATCACGGGAGAAAGATGAGTCATTTCCTCTTGTTTAGCCTCAGAAACCTGATGGAAGCTCTGCTGAGTTAGAACTGACCCAATAGCAGTGAGTGTGGTATGACTGCTCTCTCATCCCCTCTCCTCTGTTTCTTCTACAGGTCCTGGGTCTGGAACTGCTTCTGCAGCAACAGTGTAGATGTCCTTGCTCCCTTTCAACAGGCATCTGAATTGACATCTGATATTTTGCTGGTCTAAGTGAATTTCATTTTGGTCTGAGTACTGCCAACCTTTCCTCCTGAACCTAAGGCATGTGAGAAGGAGCAAGCCTTCCTGCTTCTTTCCTATTCCTTCCTTCTAAGCTGCTTTCCTTTCTACAAAATGGAATGATTTCTATCTATAAAGTTTTCTGCAAATCCACTGTGCGTCAATCTATGCCTTCAAGGGGTGAGGCCCAGTCACCCAAGCTGGCATCTGAATGCTCTATGTCCTGGAAAGGGATCAAAGGAGCAAATTCCAGGTTTTAAAATAATTATCTCCCCTGGTGAGTCTCACTCTGGTTCAACTTACCTGGGTCCACTTACTTTTGGCTAATTATTATCTGCTACATCAGTTCCAGATTGGTGCATTCACATACAGTCTTTTTTTAGAATCTACTATAAACCTACTCTAGCTTTCACATTTATACTCTTTCTTGAACATCTGTTTAAGGAACATAAACTAATTTGATTTTTGCTTAAGCTAAATATAAGTAGGGAGGTTTAGTTTGCACCTGTGAAAAATCTCAGGACTGCCGCAGCACAAACAAAACTCAATTATCTGCTACTTTAGAATATTCCAATTACCTGTTGTTTTAGAATAAGCCACACCTTCTTTCCTTTTCACTATGCACCGTTCTTGCTCTAGCTAGTCTTTACCCAGGGTATCCAGTGACAATACCAAACTCCATGGAGCCACCAAAACAGAAAGCCTGCACTCCTATTTGATTGTGAACTCCTCACAGGGGAACAATCTCACCCCTTTCCTGAGTAACCCACAGCTCAGAGAAAGCTGTCTCCCACACAAGCAGGCACCTGCTTTTAATGATAAAAGGTGGAGGGTGAAATGGGAGGAGGCTTGACATGTCCCGGTGTCTGACAGCTAACAGGCAACAAGGTGATTCCTGTGCCCCTCAACCCAACCGTCTCCCCCACATAGAAGGACCACAAGAGCCATTTTTTTCTAAGAAGATGCTATATTTAACCTTTTCCCTCCCATCACCCCCCCTCCCCCACAAAGCATTTCCATACAGAGTAGGAGCCATGCCAGGCCCTTCCCCTTAAGGCAGATGGTATAAAGGTAAAAAAACATCAAACACAAGGCACTGGCCCAAGGATGGGTATGGGTGGGAAGGGCAGAGGGAAGGCTGGTTGGCTCATCAGAAGTGGGGCAGGAGGGCCATTTGGGCCATTGCAGGCTTTGTCAGTGCAATACCCAGGGATGAGAGTCAGTGGCCCCAGAAGGCAACATGGGCCCCACCTAGCAAATGCAGCCCTCCTCACCTGCTTGCTGTGAGCACTTTCCAAAAGGCAGCAGGCTTGAGTTGGGACCATAAAAGGTTAGGACCCAGGGAGCTTGTAGGCATCCATAAGCTATGATCTATTCATTGAAAAGACTTATTCCCCTAAGACAGGGGTATTCTCCCCACCTCCTTCAAAGTTCTCATTCCGTTCTCCGCCATGCCAAGTGTATGCTCTTTGTGAGTGAAACCCACCAGGTAGAACCTGCAAGTCCAAGTGCTGTGTTTCGGGCTCTGCCACAGCATGGAGCTCGGGCTCAGCCGATTTGGCCTCCTGGGCCCTGCTGCTCCTTGCAGTCCTTCTGCACAGCAGACGCCCTGCACTCACCTCCCTAAACGGACACTGGAGTTCCACATCCAGCATCATGTGCACCCTTGCTGAATTCCACAGCAGCAGGGGAGGCAGCAGCAGCAGCAGTAGAAAAATCCCCAGCCACAAAGGCTCTGGGGACTGTTAGTGCAAGATTGTTAGTGCTGACCAACCAGGTGAGGGGGAGCAAACGTGGCAGGAGACCACCAAGGTCAAGTTTCCCCCTGCCCTTCTCCCTCCCACTTAAAAAAATGCTTCACCTTCCCAAACCTCTCATCCTACCCTGCTCCCTGTTTCAACCAAATGCCGCCTTGTCTGCCCAAGGCACAAATTTAGCATATTCCTCTGGACACCAGCCCTGCTAAGTGGCCAGGTGGTGGTGGGGTTTCTGTCTGCTGGAGAGCAAGTCCACAGAGGGTTTGGACTGTGGGACTCACAGGCTTTCCATACCCATTTCCATAATTCCCTGCCTGTCTACACTCCACCTACTCATCTAAAGGAAGTCCACGGACGGATCAGTCCCCCATCGGCTTTCCTCTCATCATATCCTGTGAGAGGCCATGCCTTACAGGTGAGCCGGAAGGAGAGGTGCTTCACTCCCTTCCTTCTTCACCTTGCACGTGTGTACACACAGCCTGTATGCCAGACACTGTCTGATGAAGAGCCCACTGCCCACCAGTTCCTTCACAATGCCCCAACTGTTTTGTCACACTAACAAGATGATGTCAGTTCTGTGCTCCTGGTCAACCTGAAGTGAACTCTACCTGGAGGGTATGGTTAATGCCCTAATTGGTGGCCATGTTTCACTGGCCACCCAGGAGAGATGTATGTCTCTGGAAGGCACGAGCATGGGAGAGAGCTGAGAACTGCTCCCCATGAGGCCAGCCCCTCTGGTTACCAATCAGCTGTCGGGTCAGGACCAAGGGACTTGACGCTACATAGGAGCGGGTCTGAGGTATGCAAGTGGGGACTTTCTCTAGATGTACAACTTTATCCCCATCTCACAGTCAATGCTGGGTCTACAAGGGACTCGACAGCTAGTTTTGGTTTTTGTAAAAAAAAAAAATAATAATAATAACCCAAATAAAATATGTCCAAAAGAAGTTTCCAGTTAATGGTCCATGCTTCCTGGGAGGAGCTCTGGGTAGGTGTGGGCATGCACCCTCCTGCATAAGGGTATTTTATTGCTCAGGTAGTCTTTTCTTCCTTTATCTAATTATTCATCCTTGTCAGGAGCTGGTGCGTCTCTGCTGCTATGAGTGGCTTCTCTTTGCCCTTTTCCCAAAGTCCTCCCTTTCGGAGGCCCCAGGATGGAAAGGGGAACCTTGGCATCTCTCTCCCAGTGAAGAGACAGCCCCGGTGGAGTGGGGGAGTTTTAGCTTGGTGGCCTCAGAGGGCCCAGCCTTTGCTTCGGTCCCTTCCCCCGCCCTACTCCAGCAGTGAGCAGGGGCACTGGGGAGTAACTGAAAGTCAACGTGCAGGAAGTGGTTGGTTCAGCGAGCCATCCCTCAGGATTACGGTGTTCTCACTTGGCGGCGGTTCCACATGCCTCGCTTGGAATGGAAGTGATGGAAGAAGTTCCTGAGGGAGAGACGTTCCACTTCCAGACCTGCTTGGAGGATCCTGTACAGGAAGAAGGTCAGGATGAGCCAAGAGAAGGAGGAGGGGCCCTGAGAAGTCCTGGGTCCCGGAGAAACCTGCTTTTCCCCATCTACGTCAGACCCTGACCATTTCTTCCTGTTCACTTTCCACTAGGCATAGCAAGAAGAGTGTCAGTTTGAATTCTGGCTTCATAACTTAGTAGCTGTTTCATTAATAGAGTGTGTGTGTGTAAATAGCGATAATCTGCTACAAAAGACCTCTTTTAAAGGGTTGAAAAGCCAAGATGTCCCTTTGTACCTGATTTTAAGTCATAACATTTTTTTCAATCATCTCATATGCATATGCGTTATCTCACAAGGAATATGAAAGACTGAAGAGGAACTGACACATTTGAATTATGGTGTTGATAAAGAATATTAAATATACCACAGACTGTCAGAAGAAGTATAGCTAGAAAGCACCTTAGATGTAAGGATGGTGAGACTTCAACTCATGTGCCTGGGACATGTTACCAGGAGGAACCAGTACCCAGAGAACATCATCACGCTTGGTACAGGAGGGCATCAGCAAAGAGCGAGGAAAGCGCAGGACCAGACAGTGTGTGGCTTTGTTTTACTAAGTATACGAAGTCAGAACTGACTTGACTTGTTGATGGCATCTAACAACACAGAAGGGTGGCAGTGATGGATTTTATATGCACTAAATGTCCAATAACTGAATTAATCATGAGGGACTATGAATTAACTCCACTTGTGTTGGCTGGACGCAGAGGGTGGGAACAGGGGACTATCTCTAGGACATTTTGGGACTTTCTGGTATGTGTAGCTCATTGAAAATTTCTCTGATAGGGCTGGGAATAGGTGTGGAATTGGGAGCAATCTCTCTCTCCTTGGGTCTAGTCTGGCATGAAGATCAAGGATGGAGGAAGCTGCAAGACTCGGCTTCTCAAATCATGGCTTCCATCTGCTTTGGGGCCATCTTTGATCTAGCTCTGTCACATTTGGGTTATTTGAAATAAGCTCCCACAACTTCCTTCTTTTTCACCTTAAATTCTCTTAGCATTATCCTCTTCCTTTTCCTTCTTCCAGGGACGGGAAGGAAAGCATAAACAGACCTGATTTTTAAGTCTTGGGTACAACACTAGCTGTAAGATTTGGGACAAGTTGTTAACTTCTCTTCAAGACTCTGCTTTCTTATCTGGGAAAGGAGAAGATGAGATCTACCACAGAGAGGAGGGAGGAGGGGTGTGTGGGAATGAGGTAGTGGTGTGTTGTTAGACACTGTAAGGTTGAATCCTACTCATGTATTAACATGGACAACAGAACTGTCAAGTCGGGCACCATCCTCATAATGGTTGCTATGCCTGAACCCATTATTGCAGACAGGCCGTCAGACTCTCATGTCCACCCTCTCCTTTACCACGCATGACTGTCCTCTCTGGGGACTGATTCCTCCTGACAACATGTTCAACATATGGAGAAGTCTCACCATCTTCTTTTTTCCCCCTTTAGACTTGAGCATCAATTTAATCATTAGCTTTAATGCCCACCAGGATAGGTGTCAACAGTATTTCCCAGGGAAGAATTTTCTAGCCTTGTTCTTTCTTTTTTATTTTTTTTTATGGGCAAAAAGAATATTTTTGGGGTTTTGTTTTTTTATAAATCGTGATTTTTAATAAAAATTCACAGAAAGGTTGAGTTTTCATTCATTCACTGTTGTCCAGTTTCCTCTCGCCCTTCCTCTCCCTCCCCAGTCCAATTAACAACACCTCCTTGTTCCAGATTGTTGTCATCCATATAATGTCTAATCATAAATTCCTTTCAGACAGTTCTTCCCCTCATCTGTTCCAATGCAGTGTTCATTATCTAGCTACCCTTCCTAAATTTCTCACCAGCCCCCTACAACAGTCCTATTTTATAACAGTGGTGTTATGCAGCATATGTCCTTTTGTGACCAAGATATTTCACTCATCACAATCTCTCTCAGGCTCACTCATATTGTGTAGTGGGGTTTTTTTTGTTTTGGGCTTTTTCTCCCCTCTTTTTTTTTCTTTTTTCATTAATTTTAATGAAAGTTTACAGAGACTTAAGATTTCCATTTATTCATTGTTCCACTTCTATGGAGCAATTTGGCTCCATTTTTTAGAAGACAAACTGCTTTGTTCTTCTGTTTGTCCATGGTGTAGTCAATATTCTTTGCCAATAGTATAGTTCAAATGTCTGGTTTTCACATGCATATGAGGTAAGCACAATGCCTTAAGTCAGGCACACCTTAAGTGTCATCTCAAAGTGCCATTTTTGCTTTGCTGACACTTTAAAGAGGTCTTTTAGTTTGGAGCAATGAAGAGTGAAGAAAAGATTCAAAGAAACAGTACAAAGGACGAATGGACCATATGAACCAGTTTCTAGAACCCTGAGGTAAAAAGGACTAGATGGTGCCCAATTATGCTGCTATCCACTCTGAAAAGAGTAACAGGAGGTCCTGGATAGAGTGGGAGAGAAAAAAGGACGGAAGCTCAAATAATAAAACATAATGGCTTTGTTGTTGTAATTGTGTACTGTTGAGTCGGAACCAACCCATAGCTGTCCCTCCAATGAGTTTTCAGAGGTTATTAATTGCACAAGAGGAAACTGCCCATCCTTCTCCCACTGAACAGCTGGTGGCCTCGAACCCCGTGCCTTTGGGATTGCAATGCAGCTTCTTGCCACTAGGCCACCGGAGCTCTATAAGCGCTTTACCGGTCTTATAAAGCTTGGGGGAACCCCAAAACTATGGCCCTTATTTATCCTTCAAATCTGGACATGAAATCACTCTCATGACTCAATTTTCAGGCAAATGATAGGCTCTGGGAAGATACTCATCTCTCAGGAAGAATAGTCTTTGCCCAAGTGTCCCCTCCCGAGGTGCTCCTGACTCTGCTTGTCTACCTACTCTGTTAAACTAGTGACAGATTATACCCTTTGTAGAGCTTTTACCCCATCTCTCTTGTCCATTTCCCCTTTAAGCTCATATCTCAAGGTACCATCTTCTTTCTGTCCTTCTTTTGGCAGTAAACTTCTTGAAAGAAGACACGTATCCAGCACAGCTTCCACTTCTGCACCATCTTCACTGTCCTCACACTCCTACTGACTAGTAACTACTCACTGCAGAATCTTGCTTCCTGTTAAGATAGCCCTCTAGCCCATTTGACAAGGCTGCCAGCTTGTCCCATGAGCCTTCTCTCTGAGCCTTTTCACACCATTGACTATTTCCTCCTCTCCAAAACTCCCTTTTCCCTTAACTTTTCCGGATGCAGAATCTTCTGGAAATCCTGTTGTCCTCTAGTGGAGCACACAGTCTCATGCTGGCAGAATTCTTTCCTGACCTGTTCTCTGTGTCTCTCTTACACACTCGCATAATTTTAGCCTCCTTCTCTGGGCAGTTGTGGAGGGGATGAAGGCTAATATCTAGTTAGAGAAAATGGTGTCATAATCTTACAGACTGCCTTGCTTGGTACTGAGAACATTATCATTTATGTTTATATGTTGTTTTTACATGCCGTCGATTCATAGACAACTCATAGCGACCCTATGAATGAAATGCCTGAACACTTGAATAACTTTCATCGTTTCTCCAAGTTCAAAGAGTTTCCAGAGGCAAGCTATTTTGGAAATGGATGCCACTCCTACTTTCAAGCTTGTTTTAATTGGGGAGCTCCACCAAACACTGTCCACCATGGGTAACCATTATTGCATTAGACACATCAGTGTCACAGTGTTCAGCCTCGTAGCAACCACAAGCTACCTATGTACAGCAAACGGACGGACTAATGCTATACCACTTAGAAATGTGTTTTTAAATAGGAGGCTGAATCACATCATCTTACACCCAACATTCCACCCTAATTCTCACCAGAACCAGCAAACAAGCTTCTGTAGAATCCAGCTGCTGCAGATGACTTCTAAACTGGATCCCAGCCCCACATTGCTGACTAAACACGTTTTTAAATAGGAGGCTGAACCACATCATATCACACCCATTACGGAGTCAATATTCCACCCTAATCCTCATCAGAAACAGCAAACAAGCTATGTTTGTATAGCTCAACAATCCATCCACCCCACCCCCCCACGCCCCCGGACAGCTTACTATATTTTTTTCCATATCTTTAGTTTCTACAGAAGCCCTGTGACATGGACAGAGAAGTATTGTCCTGTACCCATCGCTATCACCATATATATAGAAACTGAGTCTCACTGGGCTAAAATTGACCTCTAATAAGTGGCTGAGGGGAGCTCTGGTAGCATAGTCAGTATAGAGTTGTGCTGCTAACCCAAAGGCGGTATCTCTCTGGAGGTTCAAATCCACCCTCAGCTCTGAGAGAGAAAGATGGGTAATCTTCTTCCATGTGATTTACAGCCTTGGAAAATCCACTGGAGGGTCAGCTATGAGTAAGATGAAGAGCCTCCACTAGTTTCTGTGCTCTTTGCATCACATTTGACTGGCTTATGTGTTAGGAGTCTGTGGCTGGGGGATCATTTGCCGGTCTAGTTTTGTTCCCTCCCCAGAGAAGCTTCCAGGATCAAATTCCAGCCTCTCTCAGATGCTTTCTTGTCCACAGTTACCTGTCTAGCAGCTCCCAGTCCTCCCCGCCCCAACGGTCTCGGAACTCCTTGGTGTTCATGCCTCCGATTCTGTCCAGGTCTGACTTGTAGATGCCGAGTAGCCCGAACCCATTCACCTCCCAGTAGCCTGTGGACAAACAAGAAACAAGACCAGGTCAGGCTCGACTCATGGGACAAGGAGGAAGGACTGGAACCCCAGAATGTGTTCCCAAAGTTTTCTGAGAAGGGAAAGGAGAGATGGCCTTAATGTGCTGGATGAGGTCAGCTGAACTCAAACCTGTCTCCTCTGAAAAAGTCCCTTGCCTGTTTTGCAAGATGACCATTAACCAAGGTCCATCAAACCAAAGGGCCGACAACACTCTTACAGACAGACTCTAATAACAACAGCCACTGAACGTGCAGCTGAGTATCGGTTTCCTTGTCTGTTTTCCTTTCCAGAGGCAGGAACATATATCCTCAGAGAGGCACGTAATAATCGTTAAAGACATACATGATCAATGAATGAAGGGGATCATGAGACTGGAAATGTTTGCTGCTGCCATAGCTCTCGGGGCCCTCCTCTGGTGGACCGTTCAGCTGAGTAGGGGCAGCAGGAACTGGGGCAATAGGAGGAGATGCTGACACTGGCAGACATGACCGTGTTCTACTCAGGGGTCCAGGCCAGAGTAGTCTTTGAGGGTAGGCCAAGACTCACCCTCAGGCCACTGGGGGGTGGCCCCACAATTCAGCCTCATCACCATAGGGGCGAAGGCCATCTTGCCCTCCACACAGTGCTTCCGGATGATGTCAATGACTCCAGCTGGGAAGTGGATATGGAGGTCGCAGAGGAAGATGATGCTGTGTGAGTCCTGGGGACAGATGCAGGCAGGGTCAACATGTCCAACTGACCAAGGTTGAGGCCAAGTCACTCTCTACAATCTCTAGGCTCTTCCCGCAGTGAAATGATTTTCAAAGCTCCACAAAACAAATTGTTGGAAAGAGTCCCACAGTACTAGCCCTTATCAGTGTAGTTCTTAACAATCAGAGGGGGGATTCTGAGCTCTTCCCATTCCTTCTGAATCCCAAGCATTGTGGATGAGGGGCAAAGCAGATATTTCCACCTTACTCTTCTGCCCTCCAGGAGCCAACCTAAATATCTCTTGCCAGTCTTTACTCACACTTCCCAAGCCCTTCCCAGGCAACTCACCTTCACCAGGTCTATGCCAGCCTGAAGGCCAGCCGAACGCTCAAAGTTTCCGCTTAGCTTCATGTACTGGTAGCTGTAGGATGAAGAGAGAAAAGAGAAGGCAGAGTATCAGGACCTCCAATGTGGTCACCTGAAGGAAAACGGCAGGCGCAGAGAAGAGATGGGGTTATGTGCAGGTGGGTCCTCTGGGCAAAGGCAGAGCCCAGGAATCAGGAGAGCTGAGTGGGCTGCTGGCCCCACACGTGACCCAGCAGTCCTGAGACTTGAAGAACCAAGGGCCCACCTCACCTCCGCAGCTTGGACCTCTTCAGCGCCATCTCAACATCCATGTCCTCGCTGCTGTAGTCGGTGATGATGATATTGAAGTGTGGGTCACCAGTGACTTGGAACAGCCTTTCCATGTCTCTGATGAACTGCTGCACCCAGCGTGCCTGGTTCTTTACTACCTCAGTGGACAGGAAACAGAGGTGGTCAGAGGTCAGCACCCCTATTCTTGGTGACAGCTTGTGTTAAGAGTCCTCTTCCTGGGAGATAATGCAACTCTGGGAAGCCCTCAGCGATGAGACACAGTGACACAGGACAGAGGGACAGCTCACAGCTGAAGGCGCCTCTGTATCTTGTACCCTGTACACCTTCCCAGGCCATGAGAGGATCTTGGGCTGGAGTCAATTCTACCCAGAGCACCCTGACAACCTCTTGTCATAAAACCCCGAGATCTGTCCACTGTATTATCATCCTTTATTACCTGTTACATCCCATTATTGTGCTCCTGCTATTCTATGTTTCCCTTCTCATAAAATCCAGCCAATCTTCAAATCAACAAATGAATGGAAAGAAAAACTATGGTACATTCACACAATGGAGTACTACACAACACTGAAAAACAATGAACTCATAAAACATCACACAACATGGGGGAGGCCAGAGGACATTATGCTGAGTGAAAGATCTCAGTCATAAAAGGACAAATACTGCCTAACACCATTGTTATAAAATAGGACAGACATGGGGGTATGGGGTGAGGAAAGAATGCTAAAAGAGTGACTAGATAATGAACATCATCAGAAGAGGGGAAGAATTGTCTGGAAGGAATATATGATTAGGCATTTTATGTATGACAACAATCTGGAACAAGGATGCATTGTAGGAACAGCTGGGGAGAAGAAAATGTGCAATAATGAAAAAAATTATAAATTAATATTTTCAATGTTTAAAAAGAACCCCAAACAATCATCCAGTCCACCTTAGTAAGTATCCTCCTTGTCTTAATTTCAGGTCAGTGGTATCCCATCACATAACAACTTCAACTATTATCATTCCTGACCCTGAAGCCTGCTAAGATGTTGGAATGTTGGTAGCATCAAGTTAAATGCAACTCATAGCAATCAATCCTATGAACAACAGAGCAAACTCCTACCTTATCTGGCACCGTCCTCACACTCTCCCCCATGCTTAAGCCCATGGTAGCAGTCACCATGTCAATACATCTCCTTGAGGGTCTTCTCTTTCAGACTCTATACTTTTCCAAGAACGATATATTTTTCCAACATATGTCCAAAGTATAGAGATGAAGCTTTACCGTTCTTGCCTCTAAGGAGCACTCTGTACTTCCTCCACAACAGACTTGTTTGTTCCAGGATCAATTCCTCCCTCTAACCTTTACTAGTCATATATCCATCGATAAGAATACTTTTATTTTGTGGACCTCAATTTCCTCCCCTGGTAAAAGAGCCTCTCTCACAAATTGTTATGAGGTCAAATTAGTGATCAGACCTAGGGGCTCATGCTCCTGTTAGGAACTCTGCCCTGGTTCCAGCACTCGGGCTCAGCTTGAAGCTCACCAGGCACGATGAAGTGCACCACGGCTCGGTGATTCCAGGAGAAGCCCTGGGGCCAGCACAGCTTTGGGTCTTGGGCTCGGCCACGTTGCCGGCGACTGTGTGGGTCCCAGACCAGGCCTTGCAGGTTCCGAGGCTCGACTTCCTCCCCACCAGGTGGGTCGATGCCCTGCCAGCCTCGTGTGGACACATACTCCGAGAGCCGTACCAGGCGCTGGCCTTGGTCCAGCAGTTCAAGCTCCAGGAGGTAGCGCCCCCCACGCAGCTGGTCCTGTCGTTTTTCCACATTCACAATGCGCTGTAGCTGGTACCTCCTAGAGGAGAAGAGGAGAGGGGCTTAAGTAATGCCTTTCCACACTCTGGGGAAGCATGGTTTTGCCAACTGGCTAGATATAGGGCCTCAAGATGCTCAACTTCTCTAGGATTCAATGCCTTCTACTTTACAAGCGTACTCATCGAGTCTGATGACCTCTGAGGTTTCTTACAGCTTTACGGTCCTGTCCTAAGCATTTATAGTGAGCGAGCAGGGTCCCAGGGAACGGTCTTCTTGAGAAGTTGACCCTTATTAATAAAATGCTCTATCCAAATTAAAGAAAAAATGCATAAGACACATGGGCTATTAGGTAAATGTTGACTGTCTAGCTCAGTACTAGTCATTAGGGAAATACAAATCAAATTCACAATGAGATACTCACTAGGATAACTTCAATTAAGATAGTAACACATGTCAACGAAGGGATGGGGGAAAGGGAGCCCTCAAACAGGCTGATGAAAATGTCAACGGTGCAACCACTTTGGGAAATAGCCCGGCAGTTCCTCAAAACATTGAACACCTGAGTTACTATATGAATTAGCAATTCTACTCCCAGGAATACATCCAGGACATAGATCCACATAAAAACTTCCACAAGAATGTTCACAGTAGCATTATTCATGTAGTTAAAAAGCAGAAACAACCCAAATGTCCAGTTAGTGAGGACGAGACAAAACGTGGCATATCTGTGCGATGGAATATTGGTTTGTGCCATTCGCCACTGAGCTCACTTCCAGCTCAGAGTGAGCGTACTGTACAGGAAGAGAACTGGCTGCACAGGACAGAGCAGGTCACCAGGTCGAGTAGCTCTGAAATGTCCACTCGGAGTTAGCAGCTGAGCATTTGACCATTACACCATCAAGGTCGCCAGGGCTCTTCAGTGGATGAAAATTTTAGTCATTAGAAAGAAGTACTCATAATATGCTCAAACACCAAAGAGCCTTGAAAACACTAAGAACTATCACATAGTCCCATTGACATGAACTATCCAGGACAGGCAAATGCCTGAAGGTAGAAAGTAGTACTGGTTGCCAGGGACCAGGGCGAGCAGACAGTGACTGTTAGTGGTCATGAGCATGAAAATTCCTTTTAAGGTGATGAAAATGTCCTAGGATTAGAGAATGGTGATTGTTGCTTAATCTGTGACTGTTAAAAAACAGAATTTATACTTTAAAATGATGACTTTTATCTTTAAAATGTTAGTTAAATGAAAAAGCAAAAAGCCAAGGAACAAGAGCCATACCTCATGCTCCAGGCCTTCTAAAACTTCTGGAGCTATCATTTCCCCACCCCCACCTCCCTACCCCCCAACACACACCCTTTTTATCCCTAGCTTTGTCTGTTGTGTCTTTTTGCTTGTTCCTTTCTTGAGTGAGGGGGTGTTAGAACCTTTGCTGCTAATAGAACAAGCACCTGACTGGCCCAGATTGTCTCCCAGGAGGGAATCAGGGCATCATGCCTTTCCCAGGAACCTGGGGGTGATGAGGGGCAAGTCCCACCATGTCTACAGCCGGAGGGAACTACTGGCTGCCATTGTCCCTGGCCCCAGGAGAGCCCTTTACCTTACCCCCGGCTCCTCTGGTTGAGCTTCTTCAAGAAGACCCGCGTGACCTCAAGAGCCTCCTGCTCTGGGAGCAGAAGGTTGCCGGACGTGTTACAGTTCAGATCAATCCAGTCAGACCGCAGGGCTTGGAAGTCGAGGTTCCGGGCACTAAAGGTTTGGTCCCAGTTCACGATCGGGTCAAACACGGGCACATATTCGAATACCTCGCTCACATCCTCTTCCTCTTCTTCTCCCTCTTCCTCTCCCTCCACTTGTCCTTCCTGGCCAGCTGCCACCACCACCTCCTCCTCTTCCTCTCCAGGCCAACCTCTCTTGGGCATCTGAGGCTCCATCCTGTCTCCCCTCCTCTGCTCTGCAATGAATGACTCCACTTGGTTTAGCCACTGGGACTCTTCTAGAGTTTTCCTGGGGCTATCGCCAGGGGGCCCAGGCCTCTTAGTTTGAGGCAGGTTCCCTGCCAGGTGCCCAGTGAGCCACTGGGGAGAACGAAGAGACTCTCGGCTGGGTTCAGGACTGGGTTTTCTCTCCTTCTTCTCTGGTTGCTGGGCTGGGATGTCACTTGTCTTCACTAGAGAGGGAGATGTGATGTTCTGTTTGGAAAAGGGCACCAGCAGGCCCTTCTGAGACTGAGCCAGGAGCTTGCGAAGGCTTCGGAGATGGTAGTCAGTGACCTCCTGCTCCCGTCCAGGGGTTGAGATGGGCACCCGAAGGTCCTGGTTATTGGCAGCAGGAGTCTCTTCTACCACATCTCCATATGGGGAATCTTCCAGAAGGTCCTCTTCAGAAACTGCAAGGTCACATCATTAATAACAATCATTCCTCATGTATCACATCAGGAGGTTTCCACCTTTCTCCCAGTAAGACACACCGATGGCTGATGATCATGTGTGTGGCATACTCAGTGCCTCTATCACTCATATATTATGGGGCCTTGGATGTTTGACTCAACCCCAGTTGATTTCATTTCTTCCCATGTATAAAAGGAACAATAATCCATCTCCCACAAGGTGGCTGTGAGGCTTGAGTGAGAGAAAGTACATGAAGAGCTAGCAGAGGCCTGGGACACATAGGGATCCAACAAATGGTCCCAATAAGCCTGATACCTCAGCAAGGTGTGCTTTGCTAGAGCTGAGTTTTCCCAAATGGTGTGTCAGAGGCTGAAAGCTGCCCAAAGAACGCAAGTAAATCCCAGGGCTCCAAATCTCTTCAGCTGATCCCAGCATGCTGCTAAAAGTAGTGCCATTTGGGGAGTGTGGGGAGAGGGAAGAAAATGTGCAACAGTAAAAATAAAACTAGGGAAAAAATTTAGTGCCATTTCTAACAGCTCAGAAAAAGAGTATGAAAATGGTTGCACAACTTGAGGAATATAATAAAAATCAGTAAATTGTACACGTAGAAACAAAACTGGATGTTTATTGTCTCAACAAGACCAAGATAAAGAAGATTTAAAGAAAAAAAATAGAGCCATTTTCTACATGTGCCTTGCCGAGAACTGCATGTGAGGACAGGGGTTGGATGTTAAGCTCTTCAAGGGCAGGGCTGGTAGGTTCTGACCTTCCCTTAGAAACAGACTGTGGTCACCCCTCCCCGCCTGACCTGGAGGCTTCAGCGGTCACCCTGTACCTGGCGGCTCCGGCCCCTGCTTGTCAGGCTGGTCAATCTTGATGTACTCCTGAAAGCTGAGCCTGTGGGAGGAAGGGAGGTGGAGATGGTGCTGAGGGTCCTGCAGGCTATAGCGGGAGCCCAGTCCTGGCTCCACTGGACATCCAGCAAGAGTCTGAAGTCCTGCTCTGGGCTGGAGTGAAGGGAAGAGGCTGGTGAGCAGATATGCCTGTGACTGGTGTGAGAATAGCCCTGATCTGTAGCTCATGTTGAAGAGCCCCCTATAAGGCAAGTTCCTGCCCCACTCAGTGTCACTCACCTATCCTGGTAGTAGGTGCTTTCCTGGTAAAAGCATTTGTTCTGAGTCTCCATGTGGCTCAGGCGGGTGTAGTCGTTGGGGTAAACATAGGACAGGTGGACCTGGAAGGATGGAAGCAGTAGCAGAAAGAGGACAGGGCCTTGGGGATGAGAAATCCCCAAGTGGGATCATACAGGGCTCCAAGGGACTTGCCCAAGGTGGCTTTGAATGAAGCACTGGTCTTACTTAGACCGGGATTCCATTCCTTGTCTCCTCTCCTGGTCTCTCTGGACTAAAGGCTACCTCTGAGTCAAGCTCTGTAAACCACGTCATCCTCATCTCTGTCCAGCTCATGCCTCAGCAGCAATCAGGACCACTCCCTGTTTCCTCTGCCATCTGATCCCTGTTACTTTTACAGTCTCCTTCTCTGTATTTACTGTTTCCATTGGCCCCTTTAAATATAGCTCCAGTCATCTCCATGTCCACACTTCTCAATTATAACCCATCCATCCTCTCAGCTGATGGATGATTTCTGACCTCTTTCCTGCTGCCTCTAGCATTCTCTACATAATCATCTCTACAACCCGATAAACAGACATCTAGAACACTAGAATGATGTCATGTTCATTCTGCCTCCTCAGTTCCTATAGATAGAGAAAGTCTCTAAAGCTAACTACACCTCCGTAGCTGGATCTTCCCCAGCACCCTGCCTACAAGTTCACTTGTAGGCAAGGTGCTGACTGACCAGTGGTAGGACTGCCCCAGGCAAGGCAGAGCTGCATGGTCCTAGCATCAGGGAGATTAGGGAGTCTTGGGCAGGTCCCCTGATGTCACTGGGGCATAGTTGAAGGTAGGTTCTTAAAGCAATAAAATTCCCACTGTGCAGGGAAGTCCACTGGCAGCAGAGGAAATTTGGAAAGTAAGTGTGTTTAACCCAGGGCTAGGGCGTGGGGACCAGGGCAAGGTTGTCCTCACCACCTCCCATCCTAGACGTGGGCAGTAAACCCTCTTCCACTCTTGTCCCCCCACTGCTCAGGCACCCAAGACTTACAAACCGGAGTCCCTGGTAGCGCTGCAGAGGGAGCCCATCCACCAGGTAGCTGGGTTTGTAGGGACAATCAGGCAGGACGTGGCGGAGATGAGACTTAGGGATCAGAGGCACTGAGAGAAAAAGGAGGGGGGTAAGGTTGAGAGCCAGAGAGTGTCACGAGTACAGAGCCTCCTGGCACAGGGTGAGGGCTGCAGTCCTCTGCTCCAAGCAGGACCCTTCTCCATTCACCAGTGGCAGCTGTGGCCAGTCACTAACCATTAGCAGCAGCTGCCAGACTCAGGGTGACACCACTCTCCTGGGGCAGGAGCACTCAAGGAGCACCTTAGTGGCATAGGACTCAGCACGCAGCCCCAGGTATAGGGCACAGAATTTGCTAGGTGCTGTCGAGATGCTTTCAACTCACAGCAGCGCCACGTGATAGAGGAGAACTGCCCAACGGCATTTTCTGGGCATTTTTTATGGAAGCAGATCACCAGGTTTTCTCTCTCACCGAGCAGCTGCTGGGTTTAAATTGTTAACCTTTTTATTAGCAGCCAATCGCTTAACGTTGTGCCACCAGAGCTCCTTTCACTACAGCAAAAGCTTATAAAAATCCAAGAGGCCACAAAGCCCTCACCCCAGTACAGTATTAAGAACCCTAAAAACAAAGCAAATGCAGAAAAGTGATATAATTTTTTTTTAAGTATCAATAACTCCTTCCTTAGGTCAAGCATCCCCTTTTGTTCCATTTGTCCTTTTTTTTCAGATGTAATTTTTTAAAATGCAAAACTGTCAGCAGGAAGAATGCACACAGACTCTCGCACCTCAGTGTGAACATACTCCTCTCACTGGAAAACATGAGTGGGACTCCAACTGTAATATTTGTAATTCAGGAGGAGTGCATGAAGGACTTCCAGGGTCAAATTCTATTTCCTGGTCTGTGTTAGTTATACAAACATATCCTCCGCAGTGACTGTGTAACTGTTAAGTCATAACACACGTATTTTGTACTTTTCTGTAGGTGTGCTATGATTGACACTATCACCTTACAGGACTGAGTATAACCGCTTCATAGGATTCCCTGTGGGCTATAAATCTTTACAGAAGCACACTGCCTCATTTTTCTCTTGCAGAACAGCTGGTGAGTTTGAACCCCTGACCTTTTGGCTAGCAGCCTTGAATATTTTAACCAGTGATCCACCAAAGCCCCGCCTTTTACTACAAAAAGAAGAACCCCAACACTCTATAACTTTCAGGATACTGTGCAGGAACTAAGTCCCGTGAATATTCCCCACCCCGCATTCCTCTTCCTACCACGTGCCAGCATCCTCTGGACCTACTGATACACTGTCCCCAGACATAAGGGGAGTTGAAGGTATGTGGCCAAATTCTTACCTCGGTAGAGGGAGTCCCGAGGGTCAGGCCGCAGCATGTCAGCGGGGGGCTGCTCATCTCTGGGAAGGGCGTCTGGGAACTCTGTGTGGCTGGCTGCCGTCTGTGGGATGTGGCCCACCTCATCCATCCTGAGGATTGTCTCATCTGAGCCCCAGGGAGGAAGGAACAAAGAGAAGCTGTGAGTCCTGGAATAAGCCCAGCTCATAACCAGCTCCCCTGTCTCTCTGAGAGGCAGGAATCCACTTAGGACAAGGGATGATTTGCACAGGGTTCTGTATCCCAGTGCAGCAGCATGGGATACCCACCACCACTCATCCTAATCTGTAGCTTTAGCTACTTGTCTTTCTATGATTCTTGCACCAGACCCAGGGCTATTCCACACCATAATCTCAGGTGAGTTGGAAAAAGACACTTCTTCCTCAAAATGCTTTAATGCTAACTACTGGAGATCTATCATTATAAATACATTATAAATACATTATAAATACTGGATGGATAAATAAAATATGATATATATATACAATGAAATACTACTCAATCCTAGAGAGAACTGAATTTTTGATGCATATTAAAACATAGGCGAGCCTTGAAAACAGTGAAATAAGTCAATTACAAAAGGACAAATATTCCGTGATCTTTTCATATCCTTACACAGAATGATAAGAATAGGTAATTGTATAGAGACTAAAGTTTATGAATCTTCAAAGTAACTTGCCTAATGTAACACAACTCAGTTGTCATTTATTCTCAAGTTGATTTGAACTCTTAACAATGGGAAGACTGACCAGAACTGCCTAAAGGATTAACAAAGCTGTAATCTTTTTTTTTTTTTTAATATATTACCACATTTTTTTGGTAATGTCATTTCTTTTTTTTATTTTTAAAAGTGTTTGTTATTATATTTTTTAATTTTTTTAATTCATTTTAATGAACATTTACAGAGATTCTGGATTTTAATTCATTCATTGTTACACTTGTTTCTTTAACCCCCCCGTTCGCTCCTCTCTTTGAAAAGCAAAAGATAAACTTCTTCGTTGGTACACAATCCCCTCCACACCTGCCACCTGCCCCCTCCCCACCCCCCGCCCCAAATGCACTCCACTATGCAACCTTAATTCTGGATTCCTGTGACAATCATAATATGCTATCATATATCACTTTTAAACTGTTCTCTCCCTCATCTGTTTCAGTTCAGTATACATAATTTATCCAGTTTTTCTCAGTCACTTTCTACAACAGTGGCACCATGCAATATTTGTCCTTTTGTGACTGAGTTCCTTAACTCAGCATAATGTCCTCCAGGGTCACCCACTCTGAATTATATTGCATGAGTTCCTTGTTTTTCAATGCAGCGTAGTATTCCATTGTGTGAATATACCACAACTTCTCTATCCATTCGTTTGTTGATGGGCACTTAGGCTGTTTCCAACTCCTAGCTATTGTGAACAAAGCCACGGTGAACCTGAGTGTGCATATATCTGCTTGGATGTCAGTTATGGTCTCTTTAGGGTATATTCCCAGTAGTGGAATTGCTGGGTCAAATGGTTCTCTATTTGCAACTTTTTGAGAAAGCGCCACACCACTTTCCACAATGGTTACACCATTTTACACTCCCACCAACAGTGAATAAGGGTTCCAATTTTTCCACAACCTCGCCAGCATTTAACAAAGCTGTAATCTTTACAGAAACACACCGCCAAGGTTTTTCTTCTATACAGAAGCTAGTGGATTCAAACAACCAGCCTTTTGGTTAGCAGTAAAGCACTTAACCATTGCACCAACAGGGCTCCTTGTCACACAACCAGTAAGTGGAAAAGCTGGATTTGTAGCCAGGTAGGTTAGGTCTAGAGTTCAGGCTCTGAAGTCTTTTTAAATGCACACATCAATGACTCCCAAGAGGAAAGGAGCTCTGGTGGTGCTAGGTGAAGGCACTGATTTACCAGCCAAAAGTCAAAACTATTGGCTGTTCTGCATAAGAAATAATTTGATTGCATGAGTAATCTACTTCCACAAAGATTTATAAGCTTGGAAATCCTAAATCTTTTCTGCCCTACAGAGTTGCTGTTTGTTACTGTTGTTGTGAACCACTGAAATAGAACTGACCCATAGCTGACCCTCAAGTGGGTTTTCAAATCGCACAGGAGGAGATTGACGGTTGTTCTCCTGTGGTACAACTGGTGGATTTGAACCACGCACCTTCAGGATTGCAGTGTAGCTTCTTATCATAGGCCACCAGAGTTCCCTTCATACAGGGTTGCTATGAACCAAAATGACCTCACTCCCAGCAGGATTGTTTGTTTGTTCTGGTACCCTAAGACCCCCTGGTGGTCAAATATGAGTAACTGAAAACTCCACTATACAAATACACAGAAAGCAACTCAAATTCAGACCCTTTAGTGGACTTTCTGAGGCTCTAAATCTCACGGGAGGAGAATTTTTTATCTTTCTCCCATGGAGCCAACAGTGGATTTGAACTGCCAAAGTCTAAATTGCTAACTTGTGGAGTAACAGTACAACTTGGTATGGGCTACATAATTAGAGCTCTGTTGCTGTGAGGAGGACTTGAAAACAAAAATCCTCTTAGGTGGGCCAATAGGAAACACTGTGATAAATGGAGAAAGGACTAAAGCTGTGAAGGATTTCATTTTACTGATCAAGAATCAACACTCATGCAGCGTTCAAGAAATCAATTTTTATTATTTTTGACAGTCAAAGAAAACAAAAGCAGCAGTCAAGAAATCAAAAGATGTGTTACAATGAACAAATCTGCTGCCAAGAAACTCTTTAAAGCACTAAAAGGGGGGGAGTACTAAAAAGGATGTCACTTTAAAGGCTAATGTGCCCCTGGTCCAAGCCATGGTATTTTTGTTTCATACGCATGTGAAATTGAACAATGAATAAAGAAGACAGAAGGACAGATGTCTCTAAACTGTAAAGATGTCGAACATACCACAGACTGCCAACAGAACAAACAAATATGTCTTGGAAAAGGTGCCACAGTGCTCCTTAAAAACAAGGATGGTGAAACTTTGTCTTATAAACTTTGGGAACATTATCAAGAGGGGCTGGTCCCCTGAAAAGGACATTGTGCTTGTGAAAGTAAAGAGTCAGTGAAACCTAGGAAGCCCCGCACCCAGATGGACTGACAAAGTGACAGCAACAATGAGTTTACACGTCAGATTATGAGGATGACGCAGGACTGGGTAGAATACCGGTCTATTGTACGTAGACAGGGGTCACTATGAGCTAGAACTGACTCAAAGGCACCTAACAACCACAACCACAACATCTTTTTCTCCTTCCTACTCTTATCTTCAAGTTGCTTCATTCCTACCCTCCTCCTTTCCTCGTCTAATAAAACTAAACTGCGGGACAGGCCGCCTGTCTTTGTTCTGTGCCTTCTTCTGTTGATTTGCCTTGAGCACCAGAGCGAGCCCTTCGCTCTCTGCAGGAGTATACTCACACCTGGTCCACCACAGTAGCTTCACATCTAAACCTTGCCATGTGCTTCTTGTTTGCTAGGTTGACATTGTTGTTTTTATGTTCTGTCAAATCAGAAGAAACTCATAGCTGATCCTCCAGCAGGTTTTCAGAGGCAATTAATCGCATGGGAGGAGACTGCCCATTCCTTCTCCTGCAGAGCAGCTGGTGGCCTTGAATCGCACGCCTTTTGGGATTGCAGCACAGCTTCTTGCCACTAGGCCACCAGAGCTCCCCACATTAAGTCTATGGATTCCAAATCCTTCACTCCAGCAGTTCATAAACTGCCTCTTCTGTATCATTTGGTAGCATCTTACATTGGTCACCAGCAACTTCCTTTTCCCACCCCTGCCTGTTCCATACTGCTTCCTTCTCGTGTGAATTCAGACCTTTCCTTTTCTCTCCCCATGCTGCCCTCCTCTAACTCACACACTTCCCACTGTCTCTCTGCTCTTTTCCAGCACTTGCCTTTCCCTTCCTCTTTGGGACTCTAGCCCTTCAGGTTCTGTCAACAATGCTACCCACATGGCCCCACCTCCCAGAGAAGCTGGTGATGGTTGTGTGTCACTGAGTCAAAGCTGACTTACAGCTGACCCTCCAGCTGTCTCAGAGGCTTTAAACTGCCTGAGAGAAGACTGCCCATCTTTCTCCCACAGAGCAGCCGGTGAATTTGAACCATGTGCCTTTGGGTTGGCAACACAGCTTCTTACCACTACGCCACCAGAGCTTCCTTCAGAGAAGCTTACCGAGGACAATTTTTCAATGGGGGTCCTCTGGATAGGAATGGTCCTATGAAACCACAAACAATGAGGAATATAACTGAAAACTTAATCTGCTGCAAATTTAATGCAGGTGAGAAAGTTCTCTCTGTAGCTATGATGCTATAAGAACCATAGTTCTGTTAAGTAGGGGATGGACTTAACCAGAAGTTTTCAAATTTGGGGTGAGTGTCAAAGTCTCTGGGTTTTCATACAGTTGTATAAAAAATGTGTGATGGTGGACAAGGCAAGGGCTCAGAAGGCTTAGCAGGATCTCAAAGAGATCAGTGAGCCTGAGGGGTAAGGATCACTGACTTCAAGGTCCCTCAAGTTCTGCTCATTAATTATTCTGTGTCTCCGTCATAACCAAATGTCTTAAGTTTTCACCTCCACAGTTCCCACTTGGCCAGATGACCTCTGCTGGACTTAACCTTGTATGTAGGTGTGTAAGTATGGGCTGTACTCCCTTACCTCCATTTCCAGCCCACGGGCAGAGCCTACTCACTTGTGAAGAGGGACAGCGAGACTGAGTCAATGATGGTGAACTTGGCTCCGGGATCATTGCGCCGCCACTGGAAGAGAAGAAAGGGTGGCTGTGGAAGGCTGGAAGTAGCTGGGTTCTAAATAAGGCTCAAGGGAGAAGGGGGAGCACTCACTGCGACTTCCACGTGATCAGTGCCTTCATCATTCTGCTTGTGCAGCACCTCAAAGTAGTACCTGCGGGAGGCTGACAGGCTGGCAGAAGGAGAACAGAGGACAGGGCTGTCTTCACAGGCCACTGTGGCCACCCCCTTCTCCACTACGCCACACCAGCTCTTCCCTCTCTCCCACCACCTGGAAGCTCCTCATCCCTTGCTCCTTTGTCCTTAGAATCTTAGGACTCATACTTTAACTATCTGAGTTATGGTAGAATGCCCCTCTCCCACTTACTAACAGCGTGACCTCAATCATCTTCTCTATGAAATGAATTATGACAACAGTACATTCTCCACAGGATAATTGGGAAAATCCAATTAAGCAGAAACAGCTAACCCTTTGGCACTGCTATTGTGTGTGAGGCATTGTCCTAAGAGTTTTCTATATACTAACTCACTTAATCCTTTTTTATAAACGGAATGTTGAGGCACAGAAATTTTGGGTAAATTTCCTCCCAAGTCATCCAAGAAGTAAGTGATGAAGTGGGGATCTGGTTCAAGCTCACTTTAGATTCCTTGCTGTTAACCACCACACTAGCAAATGTAGTAAGTACCCAATGCATGTTAGATTGTCTTATTATAACTATCAACATTATAACTGTCAAACCAATCGATGTATAATTTGTATGTGTGTCTTGCTCTGTCTCTGTTGGTCACCAGGGGGCGCTCAGAAGTTGGGCTACAATGCCTTTTTCTAGCATGTCAAACTTCCAGCCACTACAACTGGAGAAGGGCCTTCAGTCCACTAAGTCGTGGATAACTTAGGAACTCCCTGCAGCACAGCAGACAGTGTTCAGTCCGCAGAGGTATAGACATTTCTGAGGAAAAAAAGGCAAGGACTAGGAGAAATGAGACTTGTTTACTTGTCCCAAGTGTCACTAAATAGTTTGACCTTCAATTACTCTCCTCTTTAAGTCTCAGCTTCCTCACCTATAAAATGAAGAAGGATGAGCCAGGTGGTTTTTAAGTCAAAGGTGCCATTTACCCAGAATGCACAGGGGGGAGCACTGAACTTCTGCAAGACGGAGGATGGACAAGGAGTGGCACACAGCCCGGTTCTCTGACCTAGATTTGAGAATGTTGTGATACTTCCTACTCACCTCACTGGCTTGGAAATTTGACTCTGAAATTTCCCAAACTCTCCAGGGGCAGTCCACTCCTTTCCAGTCTAAAGGTAAGAGGAGAAGAAGAAGAAAAAGTGAAATTGTGAAGGAGCATGTGTAGTGGTGAATGGAAAGACAAGGAAGGAATGAAAGAAAGACAAATCAAGAAGAAAAGAGCAGGAAGAAAATGAGAATGAAGAGAGGGGGAAAAAAAACAAAATAATTAAGAACAGTGGCTTGTGCAGGAAGAACTGAATCCTTCCTGGGAAGGCACTGAGTCAGACCCCAGGCTGGATCCTTAGCACAAACTTGGGCTATAAACAAATTCAAATTTATTGCTGATTCACAGCTGACCCTCCAGCAGGTTTTCAGGAAACTGTGAACTGCAATGAGAAGACTGCTCATCTTTCTCCCACAGAACTCCCCAGCTTAGGCAACAGGACCAAATAATGTATGTGGCCCAGTCTTGACCCAGAGAGGAATCTTTCTGGGGTCTTTCCCCAGCTTCATACTCTTCCTTATTCCTCCCCATACCTGAGTTTATCCTTCGGTAAAGTAGACTAGGGATGAGAGGAAGAATGCTCTGTTTCACCCTTCTCCCCCAGGAGCCTCACTACAGATGCTCATGGAATGGGAGTCTTTTGATGAGGTCAAGCTCTCCTTCAGTGTCTTGGCTTCCAGGCCCAATGGCAGAGGTCTCTGGGGTGGAGCTGGGACCCTACCTTGCCCACACTGGCCAGCAGCTGAAGGCCTGAGACCTGGTCATTACGGCTCAGCCAGAATTCAGCATTGTCATCTGCAGCAATGGCAAACTGGACTTTCCCTGGGCAATGGGAGAGAAAGTTTCCAAGTGAGAGCAAGAAGGATACTGGCACAAAGGGCACATGACAGGACACATGACTGTGTCAATGTCTAAGTGGCTAGGTTCTTTTTAGGGTGCTTGATGCTCTGGGTTTTCCTTCCATAACGGCGAGTTTTTTACACTCTGGAAAACACTGTGAATGTGGAGAAGACTTATGGGGAGAGATGGTGCATTCGTTCCAGGTTCAGCATATCAGAGAATGACTAGAGTGTCTGGAGGGGACTGGATGAGATATCACCATGGCTGCATTTTTCCTCCCTCTCTGATGATGGACCAACAGGGGTCAGTCACCTAGTGTTGACTTATTTCTGGGAACCCTGTAGGACTCTGGGGCAGGAAGGATATGGATAGGCCTTGGGGCTGGCCTCACCATCCATGAAGGGGTGCAGGTAGCCAAAGATACGGAGGCCATAGTTGGTCCATTTGGGGGACACAGCCAGCTTCCTCAGGGTTGTACGGATCTGTGGGGGGGGGAAAAGAGGAAGGAAACTGTTATCCAGAGAAAGAATTGGAAATAGGCCCATAACAGGCTGGTGGGAAGAGACCAAGGAGCATACTGGGATAAGAGTGACTGGGTGTGTGGCATGAAGGCTAGCACTCAGGCTTCCCCAAGCTGCTCTGTCCAGTGCGCATGAGCACACCTTTAAGTGACAGGCCTGGGTAGATTGTATTGTGAGCCAAATAGAGAGCCTAGAACTGAAATGAAGTCGAGGATGGCTGAAAATTTGGAGGGAATTCGGAGAAGGAGCTCAGGAGGTATTATGAGCAAAACAAAAAAGAATCAAGAGATCAGGAAACGTGACCAAAGGATTAAGGAAACCAAATGAGTCAGAAAAGAAAGGTGAGAAGGACAGGGCTAGAACGAGGGGCCAATGAGACAGTCCGGGATGAGGCGGAGGAAGTGGAGAGAGGATGCGTGTGGATGAGGGGCGAGGTGGGCACTGACATGGGGCAGATACTCACATGGGGGTAGAGAGGGAAGTGCAGGTTCTTCCTGAGCTGCTGGATGGAGCTGCCACACCAGTCCTCAAACACATGCAAGTTGGCATGGCCCCGGAACTGTACAGAGCAGGGAAGGGGGCAAATGAGTGAGAGTGCTCACCTCCAAAATGCCCTGTGGCTCCATGACTCGAGGAGACTGATTGGATAGACCAGATGTGCACATAGGCAGCTCCAGTCTTTCTTCTGCTCACTCTGATCTCATCCTTGAGAAACCTGACATTGATGTTCATGGCCTGCCCTGAGGGCTGATCTGTTTTTCTAGACACACATATACACTATATCCTCTCTATGCCTTCCATGCAGGGAGTAGGTGATTTGTGTACCCCAGAGAAGGGAGATAGTGGTCCTGACAGAGAGGACAGAGGAAACTGAGAGGAGCCAAGTTCCTTAGTCCTTCAGCTAAGGACTGGCTCTCTTTCCCTTCCCTAAAGGTTCCATGAGAGAAAACGCCACAGCTGTCCACTCGTGAAACTGTATCTACTCCTGGTCTTCATGCTCTGGCTCCCCAGCCTGGGAAGCAGCTGGAAAAACTCTGCTGGAGGTATTTGGGGCTCCATCTGGCTGTCTCCTGAATGAGGCCTCACTGGACCAGGCCTGTCCTGGGACAAGAACACAGGTGCTGTGATTTGCAGGCAGCATAAGATGGGTAGTTACAGAGAAGTACCCACTCTCTCCTTCAGCTGCTGAGGTGGTGGGGGACTGAACCCACTGCGAGGCCTGGAGCAGAAAGTCTCCTTCAGAAGAAAGAGCTAAGTCAGGAGCCAGGACTCTGAGAGGTGGAAAGGCTGAGAATTTGAGAGGGGAGGGGAAGCCTGGTGAGATACTCCCAGTGTACCCTAACAAAGAGTTTCAGATTACCCATCTGCGGTGGGTGTTAGGAATGTTTCTCTTTCTCCTCCCCCAGCATTAATCTCCAGGTGGTAAGAGGTAGGGCCTCCATCCAGTACAAGCAGGCCAGGTCCCACCCTCCCTACTGTTGCCCATCAGATATCAAGATCAGAGCTGCCAGGGTGGAAGGGACACTCAGATTGGAAGCCCAGATATGAGGAAGTGGCACAAGGTCATCAGCAAGCGCTCTGGAGGGAGATGGTGAGGAAGGCGGAAGAATGGTGGCGGGAAGGAGGGTGGTGAGAAGGGAGCCCTTCACATGAACAGCAAAGCTGTGAGTTGTCGCTGGTCAGTGGGCCATCTTCAGCCTCTGCTGGGGGAGGAGGGGAGCAGAACACTACTGCACAGCTGGATCTAGAAAGGACAGTGAGAATCTGTCACTCCCAACACTTCAGCAACGGGACACCTCTTGAGCACATTGACCTGGTCAGTGCTAGGAATGAGGGCCTTTGGGAAGCAGCCATCATTCCCGGGAAAGAGTGAGGGCTGGGATGGGTGGGAGAGGGAATGTGGCTGCGTAGATGGGGTGGGTTGTCAAGGCTTCATGGAGGCAAAGAATGGAGACATTGTGCTCCTTCTGGGGAAATTCCATAAGTCCAGCTTATAAGCCTCAGTTGTCTTGTAGAATGGCCTCCGCTTTGCCCCCTGCCTGGAAAAAACTTTCAGGGCAGTGTGTTCAGCTCCTGCCTACTTGCCAAGGTCCACGAGAGAGAGCATGACACCAGAGCACTCGGTTGTATTCTGCCTGGAGGCCAGAGGTTAGAGGCGGGCAGAGGGAGGAGGTAAGTTGCAGGGGGAGGGTACGGGTGCAGCAGGGGGACACCGAACTGGGGCCTCACACATGCCTCTGTGACCGTTTTTTGCCTTAGCAATGGGAGCCTGAGTTCTCCAGGGAACTGGGAAGAGGAGGCACAGGGCCATCTCATTGTGGTCTAAGCCCTTATCCAGCATTAAAGCAGACCTCAGACCATGCTTTATCCACCCCCTCAAGATGCAGGTGGAAGTCTCTAAACCAGTGACATAGCTTTCCCCCCAGGAAGATTGGTAACCCACTAGAGTTTGTATTGTTTCTATTTGGGGGACCAGTTTGTATCTGACAGGGATACAGGCTTCTGGCATGCTAACCCAGGCCTCTGCCCACTCTGTCCATAAGCCAGCAGGGGCTAAGGTCCAAGAAAGGACACTGATTATGTCAAAGAGCACATCATGGACAAGATTTATCTGGAACTTCCAGTTAAAAAGTAGTAGAGAAAAGATCTGTTAGAAACCTCTCATCTTAGAGATAAGGATACTGAGGCCCAGAGAGGTCAACTTACTCCCTAAGGACACACAGTAATCCTGTGGATACAAAAAAGTGTATGTATGTCTAGATGGAAGGCAAGGCCAGCCAGTGGGTCTTCTCTCTTCCATCCTCACTGGCATGGCCTGCCAGGCCTACAGCATAACCTCCTAACTAGGCCTCAGCTTCTCTCTCTCCACTGACTTTTCACACTGCTCCAGACTTGTCTCTCAGCACAAATCTGATCATGCCTCTCTGCTGCTTAAAATCTCAGAAGGCTTCAAAACAAAACCTCACCCTGGTACACAGAGCCTTTTACAATCTACCTTCCCAGCCTCACCTTACTCCACACCCCATTACACACCTATGCTCCATGACACAACAAACTCTGTCAGCAAACATGCTGAGCTCTTTCACTTTTCCATGTTTTTACAAGTAATATTTCCTGATTGAATGTCTTTCTTTCCTTCCCCATGGAAGGCATTCCTGCTCACCCTTCAAGGCTCTTCCCTGGGTATTCTCTAACTTTACCAGGCAGAGCGAACCGCCTCCTACTCTATCGTCCCTGGACAGCATAATCATTTGAATGAATGAACACTTGAGGAAGACTGGAATCATGCTCTCAGACACATACATTGTTGCACCAAGTGTCTGCTTTGGGCCAGCCTCATGGTTGCTTCTGAACATCAAAGATGAAAGAGATGAGCTCCTCAAAGGAGACAGAGCACACAAACTGTTGTCATCTGAATGAGGGCTTACCACAGAAGCTTTACCTCCAGAAGAGGTCATAGCCCACCACACCAGAGGAGCACTGACTGGCCCTCTGCTGTAGCACGCTGCCGCCTGAGCAAGTTCACACACCTAGGTGGTGGTCCAACTCGAGAGGGAGTGGAGCCAACCTCAGACGAGGAACAGAGAAGTCAGCACATAACTTAGTTGGCTGGCGCATGTCACAGGTTTGTATGCACCAAGTTCCTATTCAACGTTCTAAGGCACGCGGTCTAGTCCTTGTTCACTCCTCACACCTGCTCTTTGAAGGACTTTCCCCTTGAAATTAAGGGCTGTAGACCCCTAATGAAAATAAAGAGTAGCTTTTAGAGTTTGATGAAAGAGCCAGAGGCTCATCTGGTAAAATCCTAACAAATAAAATGATCCTCATTTTAGTGGAAGTCTTGTAAATGAACACACATCCCATTGAAGTGATCAGCGTCTACTGAAGAGAAGACAAGCTGTGATGATGTAGATCAGATCCAGAGCTCTGAAGAAAGAAAAGCTGGATCCACAAATCACCCCCATCCTCGTGGATATCTTGTACATGAACACACACCCCACTGAGGTGGATCAAAGTGCACAGAACACAAGACGAGCTGTAACGATGTACACCTGGGGCTCTAAAGACAGAGCAGTCGGATCCACAAAGCACTTGTGTATATAAATGTTCACAGCAGTATTCCTCATTATAGCCCCAAAATAGAAATAACCCAAATGCCCATCAATTAATGGAAATAAAAAAATGGAATATAGTGATAAAATCTAGAAGCACTAGTGGTCCAATGGCTAAATCTCTTGGCTGCCAATGAAAAGGTTGGCAAATGCAGAGCCACTCCACAGGCGAAGAATGTGGCAGTCTGTTTCCATGATGATTTACAGCCCTGGGAAACCCCACAGGGCAGACCAGTTAGGTCCTACAGGGTTGCTAAGAGTCAGAATGGCCTGCACAGCAGGGGGTTTACCTAGGATGGAGCAGTGTTCAGCAATAAAAAGCAATGAAGCAGGGATCTATCTACAGCATGGTTGAATCTTGAAAACTAAGGTTAAATGAAAGAAGCCAGTCACATCTGGTGCCATTTATATTAAGTTTCCAGAACAGGCAAATCTATCAAGATAGAAAGTAGATCAGTGGTTGCCCAGGGCTGAGGAGAGAAGCGTAGTAATTGCTAATGGGTGCAAGTTTTCTTTTATGGGTAATAAAAATGTTCTAAAATTGATTGTAGTGATAGTTGCAAAATTCTACGGATATTGTAAAAGCCATTGAAATGTATACTTTAGAAGAGTTAATTGGATGGTATGTGACTTATGTTTTAAAAATAAAAGGAAATAAAAAGGAAAGCTTGGTTTATATCACAGCCTTGTCCACAAGAGAGAGACACGGCCTTACCAAAGCCCTATATGAAGTCACCCACACAAACTAACTTTCTTTGATTGGGTTTTATATTCACCCAATTTCTTCTTTTTAACTGTTTTAGATTTCCAAGGGAAATAGCCTGGATAGCAGACATTATGTTTAAGCCAATGGATGGATATACCGACCAGAAAATGAGTCAATTGGTATTGTTGTTAGGTGCCGTCAAGTACAACTCACAGAGACCAAATGAACAACAGACCTGAACTCTCCCATATCCTGTGCCATCATCATCACCATCTCTGATACACTTGAGCGCACTCCTGCAGTCACTGTGTCAATCCATCTGCTCGAGAGTCTTCCTCTCTTTTGCTGACCCTCCATCTTTCCAAGCATGAGGTCCTTTTCCAAGGAATAGCTTCTCCAAACATGTGAGACGAAGCTTCACCATCCTTGCTTCCAAGGAGCACACTGGCTGCTCCTTTTTCAAGGAAAAAAATCAGGTTGTTCTTTTTGTAGTCATGGGATATTCAGTGTTCCAACACCACAATTGAAAGGTATCAATTCTCTGTCATCCTTATTCATTGTGGATCCAAGTAGAGGGAACTGCTGAAAATGTCAACAATCTTTTCTCCCTCAATCATGATGTTGCTTATCAATCCAGTGATGAAGATTTCTACGTTATTGACTTTGAGATACAATCCATATTGAAAGCTATATTCTTTGATCTTTTGCAACAAGCATTTCAAGTCCTTCTCGGGATAACTTTCACAAGGTTGTGTCATATGCATAATACAGGTTGCTGATGAGTCTTCCTCTTATCCTAACAGCCTGTGATCAGGTTTGGTATGCCCCTGAGAGCTGACACTCCTTCAAGCCCTGCCTCCTCAGCTGTCCAATGCAACAGAGCTCTTCTTAACATGCTCAGTACCACTCTCAACTGCCGCTATGATTTTGAAAATAACTTCTGGTTGTCGAGATCCTGAGCTACCAGCCAAGAGCTGGGACAAACAGCAGCCTTCTCATATTCTGTCCTTTCTCATCTTTCAGGATTATGTATTAGTTATGCAACCTTGAGCATGTAGATCAATCTTTCTAAGCACAACGGGATAACAGTACAACCTGACCACTGGTATATGTTAAAGAAATGATCCATATTATTAACCTGAAATTTCCTGTGGAAAGAATATGTGAAAAGGCAGAAGACAGGAAATGGGAACAGAGAGGACTCTGAAGCTGAATTGAAAGAAAGCTAGGCTGGGTCATTATGCAGCTATTTGACTGACTCTTTTTAACCTCTCCGAGTCCTATCATCCTCTTCTAGAAAATAAGGGGATTGACTGGATCAGTGATTATAAATGAGCAGCTGTAAATGATTTTTAATAAATAAATAAATAACCAATCAAGGAAACGTATAAGTCACATATATTTTTGTAATTGGATATTTAATGAAATAAAAAAATAATAAACATAAAAATAAATAAATAATAAACATTAAAAAAATAAAGTGAATAGTGATGAAAATAGTATTCGCTTTCTGTAGGTTTGTCTGACTTTTGGGAACCCCCTATTTTCATCACCATTCACTTGTTTATTGTTTTTTATTTCATAAAATATTCAAATAAACATGTATGTAAAATGACATATATGTTTCCTTGATTGGTAAAAAAATCCTGAGAGGCACTAATAATTAAGAAATACAGAGCATTTTGTAGGTATAATCTTTCAAAACAATTGGCTTATTAAGAAGTGACCAGAATGTCACAAAATAGTGTATGGATTGTGAAGTGGAAAACCAATTTGCTCTGCAAATTTCACTCAGCTCACACTATGAAAAAACTTATAAAAGAAAAAAGAAATAAAAGCATAGATACTGAAAAGGAAAGTGATGAGTTGTCCTTTAACAAGAGACTGCTGGAACACGGACAGGGCGTTTTCTTCCCATTCACTGTCTCTGGGTCGAAGGAGACATGGTGCCTGATAATGTCACCTAGCACAGGTGTGCCAACATTGTAATCCATCCTCTCTCAAGGCTTTAGAAGGAGGCAGTTTCACAAAGTGGATAACCTAACACCGCAGTTAGCATAATGCTGACTCTCTCCCTCCTGCCCAGAGCAACCAGGTAGACTGGGAATAAAACCACCCAGGTGGCAGAAATGAATCTGCAATAGTATGGATGAGAACAATAGACCGGCCAATGCCACCAGGCCAAGAAAAAAGCCCATGTCCACAGGCCTCAGGACTAAAAGTAGCTGGCTGTAGGCAAGATGTGAAACAGGAAACTCAATTTAAAATCCTCATCCCCTTAACGCACTCCACTGCTGTGGAGCGCTTACTCAAGGCAATCTTGCACAAGTTAATTTCTGAGCCTTAGTTTCATCATTTAAAGAAAAAGAAATCCAATATACAAAAAAATGTGTCATGGGGGAAGGGGGGAGGGGTTTGTGCGGGGAGAAGGGTGCAACAATGAATGAACGGAATTCCAAAATCTCTGTAGATGTTCATTGAAATGAAAAATAAACTAAATTTTAAAAAAATGTGTCATGAGGACTATGATAACATTCATTCAGAGGCTTTACTACTTCCCATAAAATGTTCCCAGAGCAATTTTCTAATGTATGTTTTGTGGAACACTAGCTTTCAGCGGTAGGAAAAAAAAAAAAAAGAGGAAATCAGAAGTCAAATAAATGTGGGGTGTGCTAAGTTACACAGATATTGAGAACTTCAAAGACCCTTTAATATGATCATGTAAATGTCCAAGAAGAGGAAGTAGTATACAGCTTTCTAAACTTAATTTCAGCAATGGAATTCTTTTTCTCTGGGATCTTTTACAAGATTTCATGGTCTAAGAAAGACAGTTTGGGGAGCCCATTTTTAAGAATAGTTATCAGGTACAGTCACGAAACTCTTATAACTTGCTTAAGCCTTGGATTGGGGTTTTGGGGTGTTTTTCCCTTCCTCTGTAAAACGAGAACAATGATATTACTTTCCAGAGTTGTAAATCTCACAAATGTTAGTTCTCTCCCAACTAATGTTAATTCTCCCTCTTTAAAGAAAAAAAAATTGGGGGGGAAGGGCAGATATCTTGAGGTCACAGAGTTTGGTGGGTGAGCGTTGGGATGAAGGAATTAGGAAAGATCCAGTGGGGACCTGAAAAAGGAAGGGTAATGGTGGGCATGGGTCAATGGTGACTAGGTCTATAAAACATAAGGTATGGGAATGATAATGTGAAACACAGTGTGAATGGAGTAATGCATGAAATACAATGTATATAAAAGAAACACAATGTATAAGACTTTTGTATGCAAACCAATATAAATTTCTTTTTTAAAAAACAAAAGAAAATTCAGCAAGACTTGAATGCTTGATGGTAAAAATTTTCAATAATGATAACTAGAAATCATTTTCTTGTGATTTCTGGAATTATGTGCAAAAAAGAGAAAAAAAAACCCCTCTTCTCAGAGAGCACATCAGAGAGTCCCTTACCTCTGAGAGCCAGGGGACAGGCTTGTTCCACTTCAAGTAGCTAGTGTTACTGCTCCCGCCTCGGTCAGTTTCTTGGTCCTAGTGGAAGAACGGACAATTAAGCTGGGGTGAAATTAAAGAAAAAGACAATATTCTGGGCCCCTTGGAAATGCTGGTGGGAAAGTAGAGCCAAGAGACATTAAAGGACACTCTCACCACTAGCCACACTGTCATCACTCAGGGTAAACCTCCTACAAGCTTTATCACTATATACACCCGAGGCTCTTTTACTTCCCTCACTTTTCTCAGTCTTTCTCATATGAAGAAGGGATAATTAAGTTAGGATCTCCTGGGGGCTGAGTCGAGGGTTGTTTCCCTTTTAAAACACCCCCTTACCCAGGTAGATCCAAAAGTCAGCTTGGTTTTGGTCCAAACTCAGGGATTTGTCTGCTCCAAGCCTACTTCCCACCCATTGCTGGCCCTAACACTCCATGGACCAGTGGCCAAGAAACTGTAGGGAAAATGTTACATTACCAATCTGTACCCTCCAGCTGTTTGCAGGGAAGGGAGTCTGTCTACATCATCATCTCTGACTCTTAGCAGGAAGCATTGTTACCACACCATCATCCCAAACCCGGCACAAACAAGCAGCAGGGCATGCTGATTCTGCCTCAAGTCCTCTGCTGCTTTTTGAGATGGTGGCTGCATGTCTGGAGAGGCTCAGACCTCGGCACCTTGAACTCCAAGAACTACATGACAAAGGTAGAGTAACAGGGCGACCAGAACCCGTGTGTGGCGAAGAACAAGACAGAGAAGTCTACTCCCTCCGCTAGGACACCTCATGACTTCAGACTAGGACTTAAGTGGCTAGTTCTATTCCTCTCACAGTAGAAAAGTGGAGGTTTTCCCAAAGGATATAAGCATAGAGCCTATGAAGGGTCTGTGCTATTTTTTTTTCTTTTTGTGTACCACCAAGTCAGATCTGATGGGCACAGGAGGAGACTGCTTCTCCTTTTCCAGAGGATCTACTGGTGGAGTCCAACTGTGAGCCTTCGGGATTGCAGTGCAGCTTCTTGACACTAGGCCACCAGAGTTACCTCAGGGTCTGTGTTCTTGAATCAGCAGGGAGTCAGGCTGGTTCCAAACCTAGAACTCACCTTGGGAGCCAATTTCTGGGCTCGATAGAACTGGAGATTGGGGTCCACAGCTGGAATGTTCCTGTTGGACAGAGCTTTGGCCAGTTCTCTCCAGCTGCCATGCCCTATGGAAGGGAAAGAAGAGAGCAGGGCCGTCAACATGATCTGAAGATCTCATAAACCTAGAAATGTGTGGGGCACAATACAGTAATCACCTCCTTTTGGTTGTTCCTTCTCATACTGGGGGTATGAAGGGGGGGCAGTTACAACGTGAGCTACAGTCACTAGGGCAGAAAGAGAGTAAGAGATCACATGGAGCAGAATAGTCACTTTTCATAATCAGAGGAGGCATTGTGGTAATGCAATAGTTGAGTACTCAGCTGCTAATGGAAAGAATGGGAGTTCAAACCCACCCAGTGGTTCTATAATGATTACTGTTGTTGCTGAGTGCCATCAAGTCATACACAACTCATAGCGACCTATGAATGAAAGACCCCGACACCTGTATAACTTTCGTCCTTTCTCCAGATTCATAGGGTTTCCAGAGACAAGCTATCTCGGAAGTGGATGCCACTCCTGCTTCCAAGCTTGTTTTAATGAAGGAGTGCCACCGAAGTCTGTCCACCATTAAAGTCTAGAAAACTTTATGGGGCAGGTCTACTCTGTCATATGGGGTCACTATGAGTTGGCTCAACATCACCTAAAACCAACAATAAACAACAGGGAGGCAGCTAGGCCTGGTGAAAATGGGATACTGTTCTCCCACTATTGACCAACTTCTCCCCAAAAGCAGGTATAAACACATGGTAGTGAAAAGCAGCAGAATTCTGTTTTCCTTTCTTTCTTTTTCACTGTAGCTCAGTCCTTCTTCTCGGAGCCCAGAGAGATGGTGGAGATTGGTAGTAGGTGGAAATGGTACTAGGTAGAGGTGGACTGCCCGTAGCCCCTACAGCATAGAGCTGCTGGAAGGAACCAGAGCTAGGGAGGCAGGACTTGGCATTTGTCAAGCAAATTCATAAACTGCTTGGGATGAAAGATAAGAGGCCTGGCTACTGCTGGAGTGATCTGGAGGCTGTGTTTGGTTGATGAGGTCAGATGGAATCAGTTGGTTACACACATCTGGGAAGGCAAAACTCCCCCGACCATGGTGAATGTGAGGAAATGAGCAGGAAATTGCTGGAAGTACATGCATGTATTCAAATATAAAGACTCCAGGGCTTTAGGAAGGGTGGGGGTCAGGGAGAATGGAGTTCAGGGGTTAGTGACCACTACTCACTGGGGACCAGAACGCCTCCAAAGAGAATGCTTAGGCACACAGCTGTTGACCTTTGGTTATGTGGAACTTAACCACTGGTAACCATAAAGAGATCACAGACCAGAAAGAGCTAGGAAGGGCTTTCAGGACCCCCTACTCTTCACTTCACAGATGAAAATGGGGCCCATATCTGTCAAAGCCCTTATCTACAGTGAGTTAGCAAACAGTGACAAAATTAACACCAAAACCCAAGTGTTTAGACGTATCACCCCTGTGCTGCCACTTCTCCAGAGCTTCAGAAAGTTGTCTCCATGACACTGTTATCATACAATGTCCTACATGCACTACATACAAAGGGTTAAGCTGACAGCCACTGTCCCTTGGGATTCCACAGTGGACAGTAAGCAGAAGTACCACAGGATCTCACAAGTGAGCACCAGTAGGGATAGCTAGCCAATCAAGCACAGACTGAATGCACAAGGTGAGCATCAACTGTTTGCATGTCTATTGTAGAAACAGATAACTAGTAAAAACATGTATGAGGGTCTAAAGGGGGAAGGAGGTGCAGAGGAGTGGGGATGGGCAGGGTGGTAATCATGGGGTTGCATGGTTTGATGGGTGGGGGTGGGTGGGTTGGGAAGGTGGAGATTTGGTGTGGGGGGCAATGGATACGAACTTTGTAGTACACTAGTATAAAATAAAATTAAAAAATAATTAATTGCAAAAATAAGGGGGGAAACTCACCATCATGCCTGAAAATGACTGTATGAAACACAATGTGTATGAATAAGGTGGAAAACAAGGTATATAACCTTTTTAAGCAAACCAATTTAAAATAATGTAAAATAGAATGTATATGAATGATTGTATGAAACATAATATAAATGAAAGATTATACAAAACACAAAGAAAATATAAAGGAATTATTATATGAAAACCAATAAAAATATTTTCAAAAACCCTAGAGACCACTTTATGTGTGGGTTTAAGTAACTGAACTCTAAGAGGGGAAGAGGGAAGTGGGAGTGCCCAGGAACCACACAATGGAATTCAGGGATGGGGAAGTATGAGTGCCTCCCAGATTTATGTTTTGTATGCCCTTTCAAGGTTTACTAAGCATCTTAAAGACATGATCTCATTAAGTCTTATAAAACGTTGTGATATAAGCTAGGTCTGAAAGAGAGGCTTAGGAATTGTAAATTGACGAAAATTTACCCCCCAAAAATTTACCAAAAAAACGCCAAGTTGTTTCAAAGCAAGGGTGAGAACAGAAGGTCTCTATCTCACAAGCTAGAGTTTTCTCACTCTGCCCACTATTTCTCCTGTCGGTGTTTTTGAGTTTTCAGGTGTCCTGGTGCAGAAGCCTCAGCTGGAGATCTGTATCTTTGGATTTCTGCACAGACATTAAACTTTTGATATTATACAGTTATAGGGACTTGTGCAGGTTTATTCCCCTGCCATCAAGGTCTCTCCTGTTTCCATGGCTGGCCAGCTGGCAGCCAGAAACAGGTTTGACTAGTTCAGTGCAGGGGTAGATACTTAGGAAGCAGGATTCTGGGGCCACGAGGTGACGAGGTGACGTGAGGCTAAGAAGAGTGAGGGAGACAAGAACGAACATTGTCAGGCCTATACTTCACACTGCTGGAGTAAAACCCTTCCTAAACTAATCCTAACCCAAACATTTTCTCTTAAGCTATCATGCACGCCCCAGTCTCCGGGAACTATGAGTTAGTAGGTTGGGGGCTCAGATGCCCAGGTGAAAAATGAGTCACCGTGTGGCAAAAGGTAAGACAGGTCTTGTCCTGCTTTTGTCTCTGAATGATTAGATCATTTCTTTCTAACTCTGCTCCTATGACTAAAACCATATGCTTCTAGACAAGACTGTGAGAGTAAAGGTGTATAGAGATGCTATTTGCACTGTCTCCTTTGTTATAAACTAGATCTGATTGGTATCTGTCTGTCATTTCTGCACATTTTGAAAAGAAGATCTACGGGAGAATCTTGGGGGTGGGGAATGCAGAACAGAATTTCAAATTCTCATAAGACTTGTGACTTTCTAGAGCTGTGGAAGCTGGGTATACCCTCAAAACTACTGCCCTGAGATAATTTCTTCATTTTAAACAAAAAGTATTCCCTGAAATTTCTTAAAGCCAAACAACAGGTCAGCTTATCTACGAAAAAGGTCTGCCTTGACTGTGACACTGTCTTAAGAATTATCTATGTGGTATCAAACGGACAGCAAGTCAAACGATGCATTTAGGACACACTGAGCTCAAAGAAAAAGAGAGTAAGAGTAGTTGCACAACCAGAAGAACATAATCAGTGGTCACTGAAACGGACATGTAGGAATAGGAACTGCTGAACTGGTATACATTTTATGTGTATATTCTTAGCAACAACAGCAAATATATATATATATAAAGTTATTTCTTTGCTCTGACAGAGAGCTTGTATATCTCAGAGGTAACTTTCTCACAGTTCACCACTACAACTAAATTCTTGGAAATCACACTTCCAGGTCTAAAGATTTTTCTATGACTGTGGATCTATAGCAAAGGTTAGAAAGTTAACAGGTAACTTTCTCCATGACAACAAGGACAATCTACTATGGGGTGGTAAGGTTTAACCTGATTGGGATTAAACCTGGCCAAGCCCCTGCCCCAGGTCATGTCGCTGCTCTTAGCTGATATCCAGTTGTTCCTGCCTCACAGTGACCCACACACATGGAAGGGAACACTGTTTGCCGGCCAGAACACTGCATCCCAGAATCATCTGCAGACTGAACCACTGGCTCCTGCCTCATGCCACACCTGGCATAAAAGAATAGAATTTTGTGCAGTCCTGTGCCAGCCCCATATTCACACCTATGGGGGTTTTCATTGGCTGATTTTGACAGTAGACAATCTGGGTGTTCTTCCTAATCTACCTTAGTCTGATAGCTCCACTCACTGAAGGGCGGTGGACACACATAGGTGCACTGGCTGGAAATGAACCTGGGTCTCCCTCAAGGAAACATGTTGCGGTTGTTAGGTGCCGTCAAATCACCTATGACTCACAGCGACCCTATGAACAATGGATCAGCCTTGCCCTGTCCACACCACTCTCATGATCTCTGCCATGCCCAAATCCATTTTACAGTCACTGTGTCAGTCGATCTTACGGGGGGTCATCTTTCAGTAACCCTCCACTTTCAGTCAAGAAGCATTCCATCTCCCCAATAACTTCTGAGTTTGGAGTTTTAGACTCAGAAGTCAGGAGATAAGATATGAGTTCTAGCTCTTTTGAATTTTATAAAAGGCAAACAATGATTGTTCCCTGCCGTGTCTCTACGCTTACTGATCAGAGAAGTAGGCTGACTGGCTCAGGAGTAACTTAGCCAAGTAATAGGTGCCACAAATAACAGTTTCTGCTTGTTCTTCCAGTATTATTTTTGGTTGATCATCCATCCATCCATCCCACAAATATTTACAGAGTGCATATTATGCATCAGATACTGTGCTGGGCATCTGAGCAATTTCTCATCCCCTCCCTTCGCCTCTACATTATTCCTGCCAGTAGATACCTGGGCATTGCTTAGCCCCCCTCAGGAACTTGGAACTAGAGAATGTGCTGATTTAGCTACTGACACTTGTCACTTGCCCTTTGGTAAGTGAACTCCTCCTGCTCCTGGCTGCACCTCTCCTCACTGAGTGCCAGCTGCCAGGGCTTGTTTCTCCTGCAACAGGTGTCACATTCGTGCCAGGAGGCAGACACCTCGATCTCATGTGACTGTCACAGCATTTCCATAGGCCTTCTATTCTGCCTTCACAAAGCTGGGCTATCAAATTCACCATTACCTGGGATTTTGCCAGCTCCTGCTCTATACTGCAG